CTGTGAAAAGCATTGTTCTTTATGGTCGGTTAAGTATTTCTATATGGCGAGCTTTCTGAGCATAAAGAAGGAACGACCCCCACCTAGACAAATGTTGGACTTAATCTTCTTTGACAGCACGGAAATAGGATTTTCAGCAACTGGCATCATGTTTACTTCAATCTTGTCATGATTGAATTTATTTATTTTTATTGATGATTTTTGTTAAGAAGCCAAAACTTGTATCTTATTACAACTAGGATGCTGAGCAATTGAACCATCCTGCACTCCTGTAGCATCGGCTGAGTTGGAGGGTGATTTTACCATAATCTGTTTTAATTGGTGGTACATGGTTTGGGGTAAAAATCTAGAACTTGGGAACTTAAGGAACTCCTACCTTCTCTTGTGTGGTTGGCTGTTGTTCCATATGAATGCATGAAAATGCTAGAAGTCTATAGCTGTAAATTTTCATGTTCTGCTTAGACTTCCTGCTATTTTAATTGGTTATTGATGTCACTACATGATGAGTTTATGTCTTCAAAAAGATGAATAGGTTTTGTGGTTTGTTGTCCCACAGGAAGGAATGTGGTATTGGATGAATTTGGAGCTCCCAAGGTGGTTAATGATGGTGTGACTATTGCTCGAGCTATTGAGTTGCCTAATGCCATGGAAAATGCTGGTGCTCAATTGATTAGGGAGGTAGGATCATAGTTTTCTCAGCTGCTATTTTGTTGATGTAGTTTGACGTACTTTCCAGATTTTGGTGCTTTATCGGATAATTTACAACTATAATTGTCTTCCCTGTTAATTGCTAGTAAGTTTTTGACATGTTGAACTACATACTAAAGGTTGCAAGCAAGACGAATGATTCTGCTGGTGATGGAACAACTACTGCATCAGTTCTCGCTCGTGAAATTATTAAGCTTGGTTTGCTGAGTGTTACTTCTGGTGCCAATCCAGTTTCTGTGAAGAAAGGCATTGATAAAACTGTACAAGGTTTGATTGATGAGCTAGAGAAAAAGGCCAGGCCAGTTAAAGGTCGTGAAGATATCAAAGGTATATTTTTTGGCTCTTATGATGTGGATCCAAATGTATTTTCCATTTAGTTCCTAGTTTGATGTCACCAGAGATTCGTATTGATGTATTTCTTCCTCTATATGCAGCCATTGCTACTATCTCTGCTGGAAATGATGAAACTATTGGAATCATGGTTGCTGATGCAATTGACAAGGTTGGACCTGATGGTGTCCTGTCCATTGAGTCATCCTCTTCCTTTGAGACTACAGTCGATGTGGAGGAAGGAATGGAGGTCTGTTCGAGCTGCTTCCCCATGCCTTTCCCAAGTCTTGATATGAAAATCTTTTTCTCCTGCTTTGTGTTTTGTTTACTTGATAATTGTGATTTAAATATGACTTGGTCATAATTCTTTTTGACATGCAGATTGATAGGGGATACATCTCTCCACAATTTGTTACCAATCCTGAGAAACTAATTGTTGAGTTTGAGAATGCACGGGTATTGGTCACAGATCAGAAGATCTCTGCTATTAAGGACATAATTCCATTGTTGGAGAAAACAACGCAGATAAGGGCTCCTTTACTCATTATTGCTGAAGATGTCACTGGAGAGGCTTTGGCCACTCTAGTTGTTAACAAGCTTCGAGGTATCCTGAATGTTGCTGCTATCAAAGCTCCTGGGTTTGGTGAAAGAAGAAAGGCCCTTCTTCAAGACATTGCTATTGTAACTGGTATGTCAATATTATCATTTTATGCATGCTAGAAAATGAAAGATGATATTCAGCATCTTTTGTCTTTTGGGGAATCTGGGGGAGTCATACGGGAAGGGAGAGTATTGCTTGTTTGGCACTTAAAGAGGGGGAAACAATCTTGACCACTTTTTTAATTTCCTTCTTTAGTGGTTGTCACGCATCTTGGGGTAAGAATGCAAAAAGCAGTCAGTTGAGAATGTTATCTGCTAATTTTCTTGTTTACTTTCTAATGCAGGAGCTGAGCTCCTAGCTGCCGACTTGGGACAGTATGTTGAGAAAGCTACAGTTGAACAATTGGGTACTGCGAGGAAGGTGACCGTCACTCAGCAGTCAACAATCATCATTGCTGATGCTGCATCAAAGGATGAGATACAGGCTAGACTTGCACAGATAAAAAGGGAGTTGGCTGAGACTGATTCAATATACGATTCTGAGAAACTTGCTGAGAGGATTGCTAAATTGTCTGGTGGTGTTGCTGTTATTAAGGTTGGTGCTGCGACAGAGACTGAGCTTGAAGACCGCAAACTCCGGATTGAAGATGCCAAGAATGCTACATTTGCTGCTATTGAGGAAGGTATTGTTCCTGGTGGAGGGGCTGCCTTAGTTCATTTGTCAACTTCCGTTCCTGCAATTAAGGACAAACTTGTAGATGCTGATGAGCGGCTAGGGGCTGATATCGTGCAAAAGGTAAATAATGCACCTTAGCTCTTTAAGTTCCCTCCAAAAATTTGTTTCTGTCATTTTGAGTGAACTTGGTTGATTTTCTTTACTGATTTGCATGCACTGTAATTATTTTCCAGTAGGCTTGGTAGTAGAGTTGATTTAGTCCAAGACAGTTAGACCGACAAGCATAACTTGGCAAAGCTAGCTCCTTACGTTATTCATAGAAATGAGTCTTTACTAGTTATCTTTATAGATTGAATTGAAGAGCTCAGTGGGGCAAATTGCTAGGGTGGAAGGAATTAGGAAAGGTGACATCCTTGTTGGTAATTATTGAGATGGAGTGATTCAAAGTTGAAAGAAGATCTCATATTTCAAGAAATTGAATAGGAAAGTATTAAAAAATTTTAAATCTCAGAGGTGGTAATTTCTTCCCCTAATTTCTTGAAAGATGTAACTGGGATGTTGCTGCTTGTTGGCTGTGGTTTGCAAATATTAACATTTTATCAGTTAAACATTTTGCTTTTCTCTTTAAATGGGAGCAATGTTGATGTTCGCAAATTTTGTTGCTTTTGCATAGTTGTTGTGAAATGCCTGCCTCCAGTAACGCCTAACTGTGAACCTTCCTTTTAAATCTCTTGATGTAGGCACTAGTGGCACCTACATCTTTGATAGCTACAAATGCTGGAATTGAAGGAGAGGTGGTTGTTGAGAAGGTGAAGTCTTGTGACTGGGAGCTCGGCTATAATGCGATGACTGACAAGTATGAGAATCTAGTAGATGCTGGTATAATTGACCCTGCTAAGGTGACAAGATGTGCATTGCAGAATGCAGCTTCAGTTGCAGGAATGGTTCTTACTACACAGGCCATCGTTGTGGAAAAGCCCAAACCCAAGACCCCCGTAGCTGTTCCCCGAGAAGGAGAACTTGCAATTTAATCAGAGTTATATAGCTTCTTCAGGAATTTTGGGCAGTGAGTGTGTTTTAAGAAGTCCTACTAGGGAGGAACTAGGTAGAAGAACATGATTTGTTGGACCATGTTAGCTGGCCCTGGAAACGGTCCTCTCATTATTTTGTCATTTGTGTGGGTTAGGCTAAATTGCGAATGGAGGAAAGAGTTACAATGATTGGTGAAAAGGGTGTTGTTGCTGATGCCTTAAATTTTACCCTTTAGTGGTAGCAATTCTAGTTTATCGGAATTTATCTTGTATGACTGTGATTGTGCAAGACATCGAAAAACTCATATAAGCAAATCCATAACATTTTTGTGAGCATGAGCTGAAGTTCTGTGCATCATTCCTTAGCTGGAAAAGAATTGGAAAGCGCTCGTTGGAGTGTTTAACATCAGAAGATTACAGAAGGGGGAATTCAATTCACCAAATAACAATTTGAAAATAAGAATGTCGAAGTTAAACTTGCGGTTGAAGCCTTCTTCCAGGGATGTGGAAGAATGGTTCATGCTCTCGTCCGTGAATTCTCCTAAGCCGGAGCAGGTAAGATTGCCGTGGCCTCGCCATCGATAACCACAGTATCATCATCTTTGAAACATTTCGTCAAAAACTTTGCCCTGGATGTATGTAAAAGAAACAGTAATGAACCCACAAGGCTTATAGGATTTTCCTAACAAATCATGGGTTAATTCGTGAAACTTACACGTATTTGTTTTTCAGTTTCCTGATACTAGTCGCCTCCACTTGACCGGTGATCTCCTCCCCAATATAAGCAGGCAATTTAAACTGCAAGGTTTGTGAAACGTATACCGCCCCTGGCTACAAGAAACAATCAGTTAAAAAGGAAAATTAAGAAGTCTTAAAAAATTTGGGCTGAGAAATTGCGAAAAAGAGAACTAACAAAATGAAATGCAATGATCCTAGGGAATAATGAAGCCACGAGCATTCCTGGGACTAATCTGTCAGCGAAACCGGCAATTCTGGCACATTCAGGTTCGAAATGTAAAGGGTTCCCGTCCAAGCTTAGCTTGGAGTAGTCCACAACATCCGAGTCTGAAAATGCTCTGGCTAGCTTCAGAACCTGTCCGGTTTTCAGCACATTCGGTGCAGATGAAGAGTGCAAGAAAGCAGAGAAGTGGCTGGAGCTAGAAGCTAGATGCTTTATCTTGAGCATTGCTCTGAAGCAATTCATCAAACACGTAGCATGCAATGCTGGTTACAATAAATCAATGAGAGGGGAGAAGGAAAACGTTTCAAAGAGTTGGTTATTCTTGGGTTATCGGTTCTGGGTTGTTAGTAGCATGCTTTTTTGCAAGTGAGGCAATGTTTGCCCATTATCTTTGTGATCCAAATTGATAGCATTGGGTCTGGGCTGGATGATGATTTTGGGCCAAGCCTGCATAACAAACCCACATTTGTCCAACAAACTGGTGAATCCTGAAATAGCTGAAAACATAACTGATGTGGAGGTTAAGGCACGACCAAAACGGGACTTCATTTGTTGTTTTTGCTTATTAGTGTACACTAGCAAGAAAATTTTTTGACCTACAAATGGGAAGGGGGAAAAGAGAGCTATCGAATTCTAATCTGAGTCGCAAAGTTTGCTTCGTTTAAACCATAAAAAGGACTATTTCGGGTTTGAATTTCAACTAATGTGGAGCTTTATCTTGGCCATTCGAGTTTTTTAGGATCAATTTCGAGAGTTGGAACTACAGATCGATTTGTTATATATATATATATGTGTGTGTGTGTGGACGCGCGCGCTAAGGTAACGCAAGATACCTCTTGACCAACAAAATAAGAATAGGAAACAGAAAATGCATGAATAAACGAAGAGCAACCTTCAAAAACAGGGTCCCAATTTTGGCCTGGCTGGTGACTTTAATGACCGGCAAAGATTGGTCAAGTGCAATTGCTGCGCAAGAAGGGTGCTGTCCTTTTAGTCACGTCAGCCAAAAATAGACAACGGGAAATTTGGGCCGGTCAGTTCAACCAACTAAAATGTTTGGCAGTAATGGAGCGATATTTAGATTTGGGACAATCAGCTCTTAGGTCCACTATCATTTTAAAGTGACATTTTCTTTCTTTTATTTGCCATTAAAACACGATTTGGATTATGTTTGTCAGTATTATTATTATTATTTTTATTATTGCCATCTTATCTAACAGTGACAATTCTAATCCACTATTCCTGCTGAAAGGCAGCGGTGGTCCTCTTTCATTTCTCAATAAATGTCTCTTCAAGTATATGAAAATTAAAAAACGACTATTTCAATAAGAAATCATTCCTTTTTTTTTTTTGTTTTGCGTTCCTTATTCAAGAAAGACTCCAAACCTTGCAAAGGAGAATGTAAGAATTCGAAAGTCGAATTTCATGGACGCCTAACTAATATTGGTGGCATTGGTTTAGAATTGAGATGAAGTCGGCGCGATGCGCGGCTTATTTCTAAACGCAAATAGCCTCAAAAGAAAAGATCAAAAAAGCAAGGAACATTGCATTAGGGCAGTTCAAAGTTGGTATCTGTCTACTAAATCAACGGGATTGGAATACTTAGACGGATTCAACAGGTTGGTTCTTGAATTACTATTTAACATTAATTTACTCTTTTGATAAGAGACTCGTGTATGAGTGAAAGTTAAAATTGACATGTAGCTTGCACATATTGGTGTACTGAGATCAACCTGCTCCTTACTTAACTGCTGAAAAGAGCCCTTAAATTAATCTAACATGTAAAAAGTGAGAAATCTGTCCATTTGACCAAGCAAGGAGCCAAAATTTGACAACACAGAAATTCATCAAAGACTACTAATGTGTTCACACCTTGTGTGGAGTTGTCTTGGTGGTCCATTGCTCTGCTGGGGTGCAGCTTTTATTTTGGGTTTGGGCAATGGGTGTAAATGATTGATTAACAAAGAAGGTTACCACTTTGAAAAAGTTTTCATACGAGTGTCACGTCTTGAGGAAAGTTATGCTCTGATTCTCGAATATTGATTACTGATTCAAAATCCCAGCAACCTTCATTGGTTTTCCCCGTCCCGTTCTGCTTCGCTTCTTCCGCGTCAACAGTCTTCATTTGACGAGTTAAAATCATTCGTACAAACGCATCGCGCTTTCTCGTCCGTTGCTTTTGGAGCACGGCATATTTAATCACTAATAAATATATTATAGCCGCCTTTTCTTTTGTATACTATTAATTAGCTTCGTTTGGATTGAGAAAATTGATAAAAATTTAAAATTCATCCAAACCGTTATGTAATTGCTTGGATTGATTGAGAAATATTTGAATTTAAAATACTTCAATTATTTAAATACATTTTAAATATTAGAATAATTGGTGATTTACAAATTTAAGTATCTTCTAAATAATCCCTAAATAATTAGAAAATTTTGAAAGAATTTGAAATCTTTCGTCAAATCCCTCGATCCAAACGCAATATCAGATCATATATAATATACGTTCAACACTCGACCTCCACTGAACTAATTCTGAGGATCAGAATATATGGTACACCTTTAGATGACTCTTAATTTCTTTCGACTTAAATTTGAAAGTCCACGCCTTTGTGTTCTTTAGCTTAAAGAAATCAAAGACAAAAACTGAAGCTGTGATACCAAAATATTACTCCTGCATACTTGTGCTCATTGGAAGAGTGTAATTAACGTTCACAAATTGTTCCCAGCAGACTTGTTTGATTTCACACCGCCTAGTTACGAAAACGGACTAATTATATAACTGGAAATTGGAACTAAATTCGCCTGTTAGATGTATTCAAATCAAATTTAGTGTATTATCTTCTTCCAACATTAATATTGGTTTAAAAGTTCTGGTTTTGTAGTGCGGAAAGAATAAGTCGGACAAAGAAAACATATGGGAATCCCTGCAGTAAAGTCATTTAGGTCGTCTTTCATTCGTTCAGAAGAGAGCCAAAAAAAAGGCCCTGATTTCCCTAGTCTTTTCAATCGAGAATATATGATGCTATCGCGCATATTTTTTGTCAAACAATTTCTTTTTCAACCGCAAGACGAAATGCTGCACTTTTTTTTGAAAATGACAGTGCACGGAAGAATCAAATCTTGAATGTATAAAGCTTGAAATTTCAGCCCTTCTGCATAACATTGCAGAATCAATTCTCATTTATGGTAGTGCACACCAAAAACAGAAATTCTTGTTCTTGGACGTTCAAAGCTTTCCAGTTCTAGAAATCACTCGACAAAAAAGTTTACGTGCCTTAGTTTTTAATCGAAGAACACAAAGAACAGATCCATGTACATTCCCTATAAGTCGAATATGTTACTTTCAAAAATAGCAGCTAATTAAATCACTCGGGTTCATATTGCATCCGTTATCAACATCAAGTGATACTAAAGCTTGTGAGAACAATTTACCCCCCTCCCACAAAATACCCTGGAAGAAAAGGAATATCATTTGTTGACATTTACAATTTCCTAAATTTTTTAGGGGTTTCGTATTTAATATGAAAAAAATGAATATCATGATTTGACATGTCGCATTTAATATAGAAATTTTGTTTGTTTGTTTGTATTTTTGGGGTTAAAGCTAAGGTGTGTTTGTTGTTTAGAAAATGTAGTCATCATTTTGGGCAAGTCATAACTCAAACGGTTTCGGTAAATGTTTTACATCAAGAAAAGTTTCGCCTTATTGACGCCGTTTCATTTTTTTTCTTTTATTGTGGGTGCTAAAAGTAGAACTCATTTAAGAAAAATTAATCTTTTACAAAACGAGGCAACAATGCGCCTCTATAGTCATTTAGGGTGTTTGGATTTATCTGATTTCAGATAAAATAATTTGTTTCACAAATTTCAACCACATTTTTATCTTTTTAATTATTTTTTTATTTTATATACATCACATTACAAAAAAAGTTCTACAGTAATTATCTCAAATGAATTATCTAAATAAACTCGTATCCAAACAAACTCATTATCTTGGTAATGTCATTGCCTATGAAGTCTTGGTGCTTGGCTCTTACAAGGGTTAGGAAATGTTATGGAGCAAGCTAACCTACTATATTTGTACGTAAGGATTAATCTTTTTTTTTTCCTACTGACAGTGCATATTTTAATTTTTATATATAAAATAAATTTTAAAATTTATACATGTGATATGCATCTATTTCTACTAGTGTATGTATTTTAGTGCATGAAAGATAATCCTTATAATAATTAAAAAATTCAAATAAATGTGTCCTTAAATTTGATTAAATTTGAATCCTCTCTGTTTAGTCAATGGCTCGAAACTTATCCATCTATTCCTACATTTACACATTCCTATAAGTCAAACACGAGAATGAAATATGAGACATTTACAACATATTGTTACTTAATCCGAAATCAAATTTATGTAATTTCAAGTATCTTTATCAAGTTTGATATTGAGTAGTATATGAAGCATCATTATAGAATGGCACTTCAAGCACTCGAGTAGCTGTGTACGCACATTGAGGACAGCAAGGAACAATTTCTGTCCTTCTGGTTGAAGCTACCTCGTATGTATGAAGAAAGCAATGAAAGTTGCCTCGAAGGAAGCGGCAGAATAGATCTAAACTGGAGATCCTTGGTCCATTAGGGATGGGGACATCAGTGTAATTCCCCATCCCTAAACAATTGGTTGTAGTAGCTGATGAGGTCCATCTCTATTTGTTAGAGGAAGTATGAATGTTGATGAGTTAGGGCCCGCAGGATGCCCTGGGCTAAGGTGTGGTGGTTGTTGTGAGTTGCCAAAAATTACCTTATTCTAATGCTCAACCACTGCTGTTAAAGCTGAGATTGCAGAATAGATGGAATTGGCACTGGCATGGTTAGAGCTGAGCATGGTTTAGCCAAGCAGCTTGATAGTGAAATGGGGGTAATGTATATACCATTAGATGTGAAGTACATTAAATTCATCAACCAATTGTTTAACCGTTGAGAAAGTTTGACAATCACAAATCACTTTAGATTTCTATTTTAGTGAATTCAACATTTTGCCTGTTTTTTTCCAATAAGTAGATTGAAGAGGTGATTTCCGAATAGTTGAATTGAGTCAACCTAAAGAAGCGACTTCTAGTTGAAATATCGAGTCAAAGGAATCCACCCGTCAAATCTACAATGTACAGGATTCTGTCCCTCGATCCTACTCTGCCGATCAAGTCAGTTCAGGTATTCAACTGTAAACTCAAAGTGGTTTAAGAACCTCAAGTGTGTGTGTTTCTATGTGTGCGTACCTTAACTGCAGATAAAAGGATATTTATAGTAGACAGAACGGTGGGAAGAATGATTAGTTCCACTTCTCATGGACTGGACACTAACAGGGATG